CCGTTCATACTCTGTCTCTCTCTGTCCCAAAAAAATAAATAAATAAATAAATAAATTAATTAATAAATAAATAAACATTGAAAAAAAAAAGAGAAACCACTCTAGGCTTAAAATATAAAAGAAAATGGTGACTTCAGTAAGATGGCAGGCTAGGAAGCTACAGGCTCATCTTCTTCCACTGAATTAACAACAATGTGTGGACAAGAATACCTCAGTAAGAACTCCAGAGATGAGCTGAGAAGCCGCAGCACCCAGGGCATTGTAAAATTAAGAAGAGATTCCAACAAAAGGGGTATGATAGCTCCCAGCATTTGATACACTCATTAGTGCCCTTACTCCTATACAGCATATTGTGGAGATATCATGAGGAAATCCCATGTAGTTTCTTTCATGATGGGGGAAAAAAAGAGTGGCTCATGCATCCAACATTCCAGGTTGTTTGAGGACTACTTAAGGGACTGGTTTTTGTCTTGCTTAAGGCAGAGTGCTTAGGGGACCAGGTCAACTTTAGAAGCCACTGAAAACTGATGTGAGCAGCAAGCAGAGCTGCAGTACTGCAGGTAGATGTGGGAAAAAAAGAAAATGAAGAAAATTCTTACGTTTACAAAAGCATCAAAGGGTAGAAAATATTGAGGAATAAACTTAATTCAGAAAATGAAAAGCTCGAACACTGAAAACTACAAAACATTGCTGAAAGAAATTAAATAATACATCAATAAATGGAATGATATCCCATGTTCATGGGTTGGACGATTTAATATTATTAAAATGTGCATACTGCACATTTAACTCAGATTAAATGCAATTCCTATCAAAATTCCAGTAACACTTTTTTTTCTCAGAATATAAAGAAATCATCCTAAAATTCACATGGAATCCCTAAGAACTTCAAATAAATCAATCTTGAGAAAGAAGAACAAAGTTGGAGAACTTATACCTTCTGATTTCAGAACATATCACAAAGCTACAGTAATAAAAACTGTGAAATTGGTATAAAGACAGGCAAATAAACAAATAAAAACGAATAAGAACCAGAAGTAACTCCATGTTTTTGGCCATATTATCTTCAACAAGGGTGCCAACACTACTTAATGGGGAGAGTCTCTTCAGTAAATGATGTTGGGAAGTATCTGCCAACATGCAAAAGAACAAAGTTGGAATTTTATCTTACATTATATATAAAAATGAACTCAAAATGCATTAACAACGTAAATGTAATACCTAAAATTATGAAACTTCTAGAAGAAAACATACAGGAAAATCTTAATAACTTTGAACTTGACAATTATTTATTGTATATGATACTCAAAAAAAAAAAAGGCAACTAAAGCACAGATAAACAAATGGGCACTACATTAAACTTTAAGTCTTTCGTGCATCAAAGGACACAATCAACAGAGTGAAAAATCAACTTACAGAATAGGAGAAAATGTTTGCAAATCATATTTAATAAGGGATTAATATGCAGAATATATAAAGAATTTCTATGACTCATCTATAATAACAACAAAAAGATCAAAGAGTCTGATTAAAAAAATGAGCAAAAAACTTGAATAGACATCTCTCCAAGATGACGTAAAAATGGCCAATGAGCATATAAAAAAGATGATCAACATCACTAATCATCTTGACAAATGGAAACCATACTACTTGGTGTGAAATATCACCTCACACCCAGTTAGTATGGTTATTACAAAATATATATTACAAGTGTTGACAAGAATGTGGAGAAATTAGAATGCTTGTATATTGTTGCTGGAATAGTAAAATAGTGCAACTGCTAAGTAAAATAAGATAGAGTTCCTTAGGGGCGCCTGGGTGGCGCAGTCGGTTAAGCGTC